TGTGCCTCCTCCAACCTCGCTTGTGCTTCCTCCAATCGCCCCTGTGCTTCTTCTAGCCTGCCTTGGGACTCGTCTAGCTGCCGCCGGGTGTCGTCTACTTGGCTCTCCAGCCGGGTTCGCGTGTCGTCGAGCTCGGACCGTAGATCTTCCACTTGCGCTTGCAGCCGTTGGATCTCGGCAGCCTTTGCCTCCTCTAGGTCCAGCTGGTTTGGGGGAAAGCAGGATGAGGAGGAGCAGTGGGCATGAAGAAGGGAAAGAGAAGATGGGTGACTGTTGAGAATTCTCAAAAGTCGTACCAAGGTGACTGCACCTGAAACACACACAGACCGACATGCAACAGCTTTCACTCATATCACTCACCCAAGAAAACCCATCAACAACACACTCTCAGCCCACTGACTGACCCACATGCACTTTTCCAGCTGCAAGCGCCATGTGAGCTCCTCCAGTTGCTTTTCCAGATGCCTTTTGGGACGTGTCAAAGGCCATCCACAAAATACTCACCCCACACATCCCCATCCTCACTCACCCCACACATCCCCATCCTCACTCACCCCACACATCCCCATCCTCACTCACCCCACACATCCCCATCCTCACTCACCCCACACATCCCCATCCTCACTCACCCCACACATCCCCATCCTCACTCACTCCACAAATCCCCATCCTCACTCACCCGCATGCGCTTCTCGAGCTGCAGCCACCACGTCAGCTCCTCCAGCTGCTTGTGAGACGCCTCAGGAGCCATCCACAGCCCATGACGCGCATACACATTCCCTCCTACTCCCATACAGCCCCACTCACTCACCCGCATGCGCTTCTCCAGCTGCAGCCGCCACGTCAGCTCCTCCAGCTGCTTCTCCAGCTTCGACTTGGCCTCCCTTAAGGCCCCTGCCTGCCGAGCCTCCTGTAACCGCGGGAGAAAAGGATTCGCAGAAATAGATCCATTAGAACATAGCTTTGTAGGGTGGCTCCGGCAGTTGGCCTGTCTTCCTGCCCCCCCTCCTCCTGGGGCAATGGGACGGGACTGGGAATAAGGATGGCAGACAGGAATGCGAGACGCCCCTGAGTGCCTTGATCCTCCTCAAGTCTGTTTCGCTTTTGAGGCGCCTCAAAAGTCCCCCCCAAAGTCCAGGGCGACAGCAACAGACTTCTTTTGCGGCGCCTAAACAGCAACAGAAGACTGGTTGGGTTAATTGGACGAACAGCAGTGCAAACAGCCTGCCTGAACCCACCCCCCCCCCCTCCCCCCTCCCCCTCTCACCAACCACTTGCAGTCTTGTCGCAACAGCCTGTGCGTTTATTGAGGTGCCTCAATAAATGACTATGCTCACCACTCGCAATTGTCTCAGCAGCCTGCGTGCCTGTCTCGCTCGCCACGCGCTCTGAATGACCACGGCGCTCCAGCGCTCGCGGAGGAAGTCCATTCGATCCACATAGCCTCGCCAGGCCGCCTGCAGGTGGTAAGTAGCGGGGGAGGAGGGAAGAATCAAGCAGGAAAACAGGGGTGGGAAGGAGGGGTGGGTAAAAGGTGCGCTCCAGCGCTTGTGGAGGAAGTCCATTCGCTCCACATAGCCCCGCCAGGCTGCCTGCACGAGGTAAGAGGGAAGGAGGGAGGAAGCAAGCAGGAGAGGGGCGGGAAAAATATGTTCTCCACCGCACACGACGGAAGTCCATTCGATCCACATAGCCCCGCCAGGCCGCCTGCAGTGGGGTAAGAGGGAAGGAGGGAGCACGCAAGCAGGATGCAGGGGTGGGAAGGAGAGGTGGAAAAAAGGTGCACTCCAAGCCTCCAACGCACACAGAGGAAAATCACTCGATCCACGCAGCCCCGTTAGGCAGCCTGCATGAGGCAAACATGGTAGGGAAGATGGGCACTCAACAACATGGTGACTTTTGAGTCGACTCAAAAGTCACATGGTAAGGAAGATGGGCACTCAACAACATGGTGACTTTTGAGTCGACTCAAAAGTCACATGGTAAGGAAGATGGGCACTCAACAACATGGTGACGTTTGAGTCGACTCAAAAGTCACATGGTAAGGAAGATGGGCACTCAACAACATGGTGACTTTTGAGTCGACTCAAAAGTCACATGGTAAGGAAGATGGGCACTCAACAACATGGTGACTTTTGAGAATTCTCGAAAACCAGTAAGTAAGATGGGCACTCAACAACATGTCGCAACAACACATGGGTACCAAATTATTCATACGCCATACCATCTCCTACCACTTCCTCCCCCCCTCACCCCACCCCTCTTTCTTCCACCCTCCTCTCCCCACCCCTCTTTCTTCCACCCTCCTCTCCCCACCCCTCTTTCTTCCACCCTCCTCTCCCCACCCCTCTTTCTTCCACCCTCCTCTCCCCACCCCTCTTTCTTCCACCCTCCTCTCCCCACCCCTCTTTCTTCCACCCTCCTCTCCCCACCCCTCTTTCTTCCACCCTCCTCTCCCCACCCCTCTTTCTTCCACCCTCCTCTCCCCACCCCTCTTTCTTCCACCCTCCTCTCCCCACCCCTCTTTCTTCCACCCTCCTCTCCCCACCCCTCTTTCTTCCACCCTCCTCTCCCCACCCCTCTTTCTTCCACCCTCCTCTCCCCACCCCTCTTTCTTCCACCCTCCTCTCCCCACCCCTCTTTCTTCCACCCTCCTCTCCCCACCCCTCTTTCTTCCACCCTCCTCTCCCCACCCCTCTTTCTTCCACCCTCCTCTCCCCACCCCTCTTTCTTCCACCCTCCTCTCCCCACCCCTCTTTCTTCCACCCTCCTCTCCCCACCCCTCTTTCTTCCACCCTCCTCTCCCCACCCCTCTTTCTTCCACCCTCCTCTCCCCACCCCTCTTTCTTCCACCCTCCTCTCCCCTCCAACCATCCTTGTTGCCGCCCGCTGCACTCTCATCTCTTGCACCCGCTAGCATTGCGGCTCAACATGCCAACCAACAAATGGATACTCGGTCAATCCTATCCCGGTCCCTACCCGTCCACCTCCATGTCTGCCCTCTCGCCCCTTTCCTCTTCTCTCTCCTCCCAACCAACCTGTATCCTTGTTGCCGCCCGCTGCACTCTGATCTCCCGCACCCACTTGCGGCACAACATGCCGCGGAACGCCGCCTGGATGATGATGGCACTGTAGCGCGTGTGCTCGTAGGCCAGCTGCGTGGTGTACCGCCGCACGTGCTTCTGAATCGTCACCGCTGCTGCTTCTTCTCGTAGCCAGCTGTAGTACTGCCGAGTCAGGTGGCCTGGGGGTTGGGGGGAAGGAGAAGAGCGGGAGCGGGGAGAGCGGAGGGAGAAAAAGAGAGGGGAGAGGGAGGAGAGCAGGAGGGGAGGAGGGGGGAGAGAGGGGAGCGAAGGGAGTGAGAGGAGGTTGAGGGAGAGCAGCAATGGAGCAGCCGCCTGGATGATGATGGCCCTGTAGCGCGTGTGCTCGTAGGCGAGCTGCGTGGTGTATCGCCTCACGTGCTTCTGAATCGTCACCGCTGCCGCTTCTTCTCGTAACCAGCTGTAGTACTGCCGGGTCAGGTGACCTGGAGGGTATTGGGGAAGGGAGGAGGGCAGAGAGAGGGAGGAGGGCAGAGAGAGAGGGAGGAGGAGGGGAGGGAGAGGGGGGATGGACGAGAGGAGGGAGGAGAGAGGGGAGCGAGAGGAGTGAGAGGAGGTTGAGTGAGTGCAGCAGCACGTGTGCTCGTAGGCGAGCTGCATGGTGTATCGCCGCACGTGCTTCTGAATCGTCACTGCTGCCACCTCCTCTCGCAGCCAGCTGTAGTACTGCCGAGTCAGGTGGCCTGGGGGGGAGAGAGCGGAGGGGCGCGAAGAGGGAAGAGGGGCAGAGAGGGAGGAGAGAAGGGAGAGAGGGGAATGACAGGAGGTTGAGTGAGAGAGGCAGTGATGCAGCGTGTGTGCTCGAACACAAACAGAATGAACTGCAGCCATGACCACCAAGATCACCCACTCCTTTGTTTCTCATCCACCTTCTGCCCTCTCCCAACCTTCAACCTCCTCACCTCGCCACCATGCCCTCTCCCAACCTTCAACCTCCTCACCTCGCCACCATGCCCTCTCCCAACCTTCAACCTCCTCACCTCGCCACCATGCCCTCTCCCAACCTTCAACCTCCTCACCTAGCCACCATGCCCTCTCCCAACCTTCAACCTCCTCACCTCGCCACCATGCCCTCTCCCAACCTTCAACCTCCTCACCTCGCCACCATGCCCTCTCCCAACCTTCAACCTCCTCACCTCGCCACCATGCCCTCTCCCAACCTTCAACCTCCTCACCTCGCCACCATGCCCTCTCCCAACCTTCAACCTCCTCACCTCGCCACCATGCCCTCTCCCAACCTTCAACCTCCTCACCTCGCCACCATGCCCTCTCCCAACCTTCAACCTCCTCACCTCGCCACCATGCCCTCTCCCAACCTTCAACCTCCTCACCTCGCCACCATGCCTGCATGCAAATCACGGCCCGTCGCAGCATATTGTACCGCAAGAACTGCCGCCAACACACCACACCTTCCATCTCTTCCACTTACTACCCTTCTCACCCATTCACACCCCTCCTCACCTCGCCACCGCGCCTGCATGCGGATCACAGCCCATCGCAGCATGTTGTACCGTATGAACTGCCGCCACGACCACGTTGGCATCTGCTCTCTCTCACACTCATCCCTTAATCTTCTCACCTCGCCACCGCACCTGCAATCTGATGACGGCCCATCGCAGCATGTTGTACCGTATGAACTGCCACCACGACCACGTTGGCATCTGCTCTCTCTCACACTCATCCCTTAATCTTCTCACCTCGCCACCGCGCCTGCAATCTGATGACAGCCCATCGCAGCATGTTGTACCGCATGAACTGCCGCCACGACCGCCACGCGCGCTGAATCACGCGCGCCGCCCACATAAGCCTCTCCGCCCTCAGAGCATCCAGGTCCGCCATCTGCCCTGCTCGTAGGAACACCTTGGTTCTCCCCACCTGTTCAAGGGGAAGGGTATGGGGAGAGCAGGGGGAGAAGGGGAGGAGCCGGAGGGGAGAGTTTTAGGTGCCTCTGAAAGCCTCTCCACCCTCAGTGCATCCAGGTCCGCCATCTGTCCCGCTCGTAGGAACACCTTGGTTCTCCCCACCTGATTGAAGGGGGAAGCGAGATTTGTGGGGTGAGGAGTGGAAGGGAAAAGGAAGGGGAAAGCCGGGTAGGGGAGTGGTTTATGCTCTGCCCACCCCAGCCTCTTATATCGAAATCACTTTTGAGAATTCTCAAAAGTGATTTCGATAGAGAATTCTCAAAAGTGATTTCTTTTCAGAATTCTCAAAAGTGATTTCGATAAAGCCGGGTAGGGGAGTGGTTTATGCTCTGCCCACCCCAGCCTCTCCGCCCTCAGCGCATCCAGGCCCGCCATCTGTCCCGCTCGTAGGAACACCTTGGTTCTCCCCACCTGATTGAACGAGGAAGAGAGGGAGATAGTTAGTGGGGGGGGGGGGGGGGGGGGGGGAGGGGAAGAAGGGGAAATGGGGGTTTAGTGGAGTGATTTATGCGCAGCCCACCCCGGTCTCTCAGCCTCCAGGTGTGATGAGTCGATTTTTTAGTCGACTAAAAAATCGACCCACCCTGGTCTCTCCGCCCTCAGCGCATCCAGATCCGCCATCTGCCCTGCCCTCTAGGAACACCTTGGCCAGAGCAGAAGTGGGCCATGGCGAGGTGGGCAGGGCCAGATGGCCCACCTAATAGAATGAGGAATCACGGGAGGCGGGGAGAAGGGAGAAAAAGGGGGGGTTGGTAAGAAGGGAAGTGGTTTATGTGTCAGCCACCCCAGCTTCAGGTCTGCCATCTGCCCTGCTCGTTGAAACACCTTGGTTCTTGACACCTGATTGGGAAGGATGGGGATGGAGCAGAGTCAGGACAAGTGGAGAGTGGGAATACGGTATCTGAGGTCCATCCTCCAGCCTCACCCTAACTCCACCACTCCTCCCTCCACCTGCCTGCACCACCAGCTTTCGACCTAAACAGCCCTCTTCTCTCGACTGGTACCCACCTGTTTGAACTCAGAATGGGTGCGATTGCGGGGTTGGAAAGTTACCTGGAAGTTGCTGAAGCCCAGTCGTTGCAGCATGAGAGTAACGGCTGTCTTGTCGTCGTATCTGCAGTCAAGGAGATGGGAATATGAGGGGGAGCAGGGGAAGAGGGGAGAAAGGGGGAGTGAAACATCAAGCTAAGAAATGAAGCATGAGAGTTCCATCAGTAGCCTCGTGATAGCAATAGAAGAAGGAAAGCAGCGGCCAGGGGGACCGAGGCAAAGAGGGGGGACAAAGGAGGAGGATGGCTCGTGAATGAGAGGGTCTTCAACCAACATTCAATATCACACTGGTCCGGTGTGAGAACAGAGAATTTATTGTGTAATTTGTCAAGGCGGACGAGTCTTGAGACTTCCACAAGAGTGAAAACTGAACTCCTCCCATTACACACTCAAGGTCTGGTGCGAGAACGGGGTCTTGTCATGTCAAGTGCGTTTTGACACATACCTTCTCCCATCACACAGGTCTGGTGCGAGAATGGAGTCTTTTCATGTCAGGTGTGGCTTGGCACTGACCTTCTCCCATCACACAGGTCTGGTGCGAGAACGGAGTCTTTTCATGTCAGGTATGTCTTGGCACTAACCTTCTCCCATCACAGAGGTCCGGCGCGAGAACAGAGAATCTGCCAGGTGTGTTTCGAGTCAGCTCAAAACATGTCGTGAGCAGGGCTTGGCACTGACCTTCTCCCATCACACAGGTCCGGTGCGAGAACGGAGAATCTGTCAAGAAACTTGTTAAAAGGGATGGGGCTATTCTTGAGACATCTAAGCGACTGAGCTGAGCACTGACCTTCTCCCATCACACAGGTCCGGCGCGAGAACAGAGAATCTGTCAAGAAACTCGTCGAAGGGGCGGCGAGTGGGATAGCCTGCACAGCTGATTCGAATGGCCTCCAGCACGCCCTGTGATAAAATGGGTGAGAGAGGCAGATGGGTGGGAGAGGCAGCCAGTGGGAGGGAAAGTCAAGTGGGTTAGAGAGGGAAGTGAGTGTTTTCAGTTGACTCAGAACTGGTCGAAGGGGTGTCAAGTGCGAGCGAGCGATGCAAGGGATGCACCAGAGGGCGGAAATCCAGTTGCACGGAGGTGAGAGGTGAGGGGCGTGCGAGGGGGCCGCACAGCTGATTCGAATGGCCTCCAGCACGCCCTGTGATGAGATGGGTGAGAGAGGCAGGTGGGAGAGAGGCACGTGGGTGAGATGAGAGAGGCAGGTGGGAGAGAGGCACGTGGGTGAGATGAGAGAGGCAGGTGGGAGAGAGGCACGTGGGTGAGATGAGAGAGGCAGGTGGGAGAGAGGCACGTGGGTGAGATGAGAGAGGCAGGTGGGAGAGAGGCACGTGGGTGAGATGAGAGAGGCAGGTGGGAGAGGGAGGCAAGAGGGTGAGAACAGGAAGTGAGTGTTACTACACAGAATGTGAGAATGGAACTCTAACTTAGCTCAACCACAGCTTAACCGATCTCAACCCAACTCAACCTGACCAGCTCAACTCACCCCGCATCACAATTGGTGGATCACGCTCGGGTTTCCAAAGTGCCCTGACTTGTACTGCCCGTTGGGCTTCAGACACCCACACACAGCACAGATTGTGAGTGTGGAAATCTAACTCACCTCAACTCACCCAACTCAACCGATCTCAACCCGACTCAACTCACCCCGCATCTGAGTTGGTGAATGATGCTGGGGTTCTCAAAGTACCCCAGCTTGTACTGCCCGTTGGGCTTCACAAAGTCACACGCCGCTCACACTGTGTGTGTGGAACACAATTTCAACCGAACTCAACCAGACTCAACTCCACGCAACTCACCCCGCATCTGAGTTGGTGGATGACGCTGGGGTTCTCAAAGTACCCCGGCTTGTACTGCCCGTTCGGCTTCACACATCGCACGTAGTGAGGGTCCATGTGGCTCAGAGTCGACATCAGCTCCGCCAGTTGTTGCTGCGGGAAGGGAGCGGGAATGGGAGGGAAGACAGCAGGCATGCGATCCAAAGTTAGTCCAGTTCAGCCTGGCTTGTACTGCCCGTTGGGCTTCACACATCGCACGTAGTGCGGATCCATGTGGCTCAGCGTTGACATCAACTCCGCCAGTTGTTGCTGCCAGGGGGGACGTGGGGGTGGTGGAGAGTAGGGTAGAGGAGGCTTCACACATCGCACGGTAGTGTGGATCCATGTGGCTGAGTGTCGACATCAGCTCTGCTAGTTGTTGCTGTAAGGAAGGGGGTGTGGGGTTGTGGGGGAGAAGTGGGGTCGGGCTTTACACATCACACGAAGTGCGGGGGCTCCATGTAGCTCAGCGTATGTTTTTTTAGAATTCTCAAAAAACTTATAGTGCGGGGGCTCCATGTGGCTTAGCGTCGCCATCAGCTCCGCCAATTGTTGCAAGGGGGATTGTGCGCTGGAGTGGGGTGGGATGGATGGGTGGAGTAGAGGAGACAGCCGGCATGTGAAGATGTGAGTCGAGTTTTGAGTCGACTCAAAACTCGACTCATTACACGATGGATGGGTGGAGTAGAGGAGACAGCCGGCATGTGAAGAAATGCGGGTTGGTCCGTCAGGCTTCACGCATCGCACGTGTTGCGACTCTATGTGGCTTAGAGTTTACATCAGCTCCGCCAGTTGTTGCTGCAGGAAGGGGGGGATATTAAGATTTAGGTGGGATAGATTGAGGTGGGTGTGGAAAAGGAGACAAAAGGTTTTGGAAGAAAACGTATCCTTTAATCCCAGTATGTCAAGGCAAAGGGGTCTGTCAAAGCACCTAGCCTTGTGCTCCCAGTAAGTCCCATACCAGTATGTCACTGCATACCAACCAGCCCATCTTGAACCCAAAACCACGAACTCGTCACAAACTCACCTTGAATCCCGAACCCAGAGAAGTGAACTTGGTCTTGGCCTTGTCACCCGAGGGCATGGGGAAAAGCGCAGCCACGAAAGGGTCTACTGACGCCCCTAGCAGCGCCTGGTGCTCCATCACCACGTAGTCCTTGTTCTTCTCCAGAAAAAGATCGGTTTGGTAGGTGACCTGGTGTGATGAGGAGGAGAGAGGACCAATCATTCTCCACACACAACCCAGCAGCGCCTGGTGCTCCATCACCACGTAGTCCTTGTTCTTCTCCAGAAACAGATCGGTCTGATACGTGACCTGACGAGGGCAGAGAGAAAGGGAAGCACAAGGCAAGGCACGCAACATCACACCCCAGCAGTGCCTGCCTGGTGCTCCATCAATCACCACGTAGTCCTTGTTCTTCTCCAGAAATAGATCGGTCTGATACGTGACCTGACGAGGGCAGAGAGAAAGGGAAGCACAAGGCAAGGCACGCAACATCACACCCCAGCAGTGCCTGCCTGGTGCTCCATCACCACGTAGTCCTTTTCTTCTCCAGAAATAGATCGGTCTGATACGTGACCTGACGAGGGCAGAGAGAAAGGGAAGCACAAGGCAAGGCACGCAACATCACACCCCAGCAGTGCCTGCCTGGTGCTCCATCAATCACCACATAGTCCTTGTTCTTCTCCAGAAACAGATCGGTCTGATACGTGACCTGACGAGGGCAGAGAGAAAGGGAAGCACAAGGCAAGGCACGCAACATCACACCCCAGCAGTGCCTGCCTGGTGCTCCATCAATCACCACGTAGTCCTTGTTCTTCTCCAGAAACATATCGTTTTGGTAGGTCACCTGGTTTGATTAAGGGGAGAGCAAGGAGGCGAGAGAGAGAGGGAAACATGTGTCAAGGCATACTCCACACACAACCCAGCAGTGCCTGATGCTCCGTCACCGCGTAGTCCTTGTTCTTCTCCAGAAACAGGTCGGTCTGATACGTGACCTGGTGTGATGAAGGGGACCGACAGGGAGAGGAAGCGCATGGCTAATCGCACACGCTAGCAGCGCCTGGTGCTCCATCCATCACCACATAGATCTTGTTCTCTTCTACGAACAGGTCGGTTTGATAGGTCACCTGGGGAAGGAGGGGAGGGTTATACGAAGCAGAGTGGGAATAGAGAAGCATGGATAACACGCCTGGTGCTCCTAGCTCTTCTCCAAAAACAGGTCCGTCTGGTAGGTAGGACATCTGGTGTATAGAGAGCAAGAGAAACGGAGAAAACGAGTGACATGAGGAGTCCACGTGTCAAAGAGTACTCCTCCCATCACAACCCAGGAAACCGCCCGCTGCTCCATCACCAAGTGAACCCCTTAATCTTCTCCAGAATCAGGTCCGTTTGCATTCTAATTCTCTCAAAAGCAACTCCGACGCCAGCGTAGGGCTCATAACCCCTAGTGCCTTCACCCCATCTAGCTTCCCCAACCCCTGACCATGAACCCCCACCTGCTTTTGAGTCGACTCAAAAGCTGACCATGAACCCCCACCTGCTTTTGAGTCGACTCAAAAGCTGACCATGAACCCCCACCTGCTTTTGAGTCGACTCAAAAGCTGACCATGAACCCCCACCTTCCCAGCATAGTGCTCGATGCTGAAGCCGGTCTGTGAGAGCTTGGACCTGTCAATCAAAGCGACAAAGCAGCGCTTAACCCCCAAGATTAAGCCTAAACCCTGAACCTGAAACCCTCTCACCTTGCCAGCGTAGTGCTCGATGGTGAAGTCAGTCTGTGAGAGCTTGGGCTTGTCGAAGCTCCAAGAGCAACCTTCTGAACCCTAACTCCTAACACCTCTTAGTGCTTACTAGCTAACCCCTATCCCCCAAACCCTAATGGAGCGCACCTTGCCAGCGTAGTGCTCGATGGTGAAGTCGGTCTGTGAGAGCTTGGGCTTGTCGAAGCGTCGATGGGCCCCCACTGTCTGATAGAGCTTCGTGGCAAACGTCTCATGGTTTGACTTGGGAAACATGCTGCATGCATACATGGGAGGAGGAGGGGGGAAGAGAAAGAAGGGGCGGGGATGGGTTGGGGGGAAGGAGACGCTTGTTGAGACTTCTCAGAGGAGGGGAAGGAGTGAGATACGAAGAGGAAGAAAATTCTAGAGAGGTATAAGTATGAAATCAACTAAAACTCCTCCCTGCCCTGGTTTTTCTCACCATTGTTCGTCCAGGAGAGCAATGATCCCCATTGGCTTCTGCGCAATGCAAACAAGGAGGAGGGCAGACACAACAGCACACCACCACACACAACCGCACGGCACAGCACGGCACAGCACAGAAAAAACAGTATAGAAGAGAATAAGAGTGATGGATGAATCACGGACGAGAGCAGGACATCTCACGTTCTATTCTGCAAAAACATGCCATAAGAAAGTACACTTCCAATACGGTTTCAGTATCCGAAATCAAAGCTTTTTTGTGCAAGCTTAGATACCGGGTCAATGAACCATCATACCTCCTGACATCATGGACCACCAAACCTTCTCTATCCACTAGAGCACATCTAGTTTTGAGCCGCCTAAATCGAGCAACCTTCTAAAACTGCAGGCCACTGTACCTTCTCTATGAGCTCGAGCACGACTTGGTTGTCCTTTGAGTCAACTGAAAAGCCTTCAAACCACAGACCACCGCACTGTACCTTCTCTATGAGCTCGAGCACGTCTTGGTTATCCACAAACTCAATGTAGCTCCAGTCGATCGCTTCGCTCTCATACTCCTCCTGCTCTGCCTTGAACACGTGCTGGTAGGTGGAAAGTAAAAGGGCATTGGGAAAGGAAGCAGAGGCAGAGGCGGGGAGGTGGAGGCTCAAAGTTACCAGTCGATCGCCTCGCTCTCATACTCCTCCTGCTCTGCCTTGAACACGTGCTGGTAGGTGGAAAGGAAAAGGGCACTGGGAATGGAAGCAGAGGCAGAGGCGGGGAGGTGGAGGCTCAAAGTTACCAGTCGATCGCTTCGCTCTCATACTCCTCCTGCTCTGCCTTGAACACGTGCTGGTGAATGGGAGATGAAGGGACAATGGATAATGGGGGGACAAGGGAGGGGCAAGGCAAAAGAGGACAGGAGGGAGGGTGGAAGGTAAAGTCTTGAGGCGTCCATTGCACAGGCTCACTGTATGGAAGGCTAAGGCCTCCTGCTCTGCCTTAGCCTCTCATATACACGGCTCTGCCTTAGCCTCTCATAGAACCCTAAACACATGCGGTTGAGCTTGCAAGTGAACATGAACAGACGTTGACGCATGGAAAAAACAATTCAAGGCAAGAGGGAGGGAGGGAGAAAGGGAGGGAGGGTTGTTGAATGTTTTTTTTTGTGTGAAGGAAGACAAGTCCATACCCTGCTTTTCCAAACGAAGTCGGGCAAGGCAGGCTTTTCTAGGCAATGCTAGGTCCACTCCACATCTTCCTGATTGCAACACATACAAAGAGATGAAAACCTAGATGTAAACAGTACACCCACCTACCCTAGATGTACACAGTACACCCACCTACCCTAGATGTACACAGTACACCCACCTACCCTAGATGTACACAGTACACCCACATACCCTACCCCATTGGCTGCTCGCACCAACTACTGCCGCGCACACACATACCTGGTTGAAGTGCTGTTGGAGCTTCTCGTTTGCCAGGTTGATACAGAACTGCTCAAAACTGCATGATCACACCAGATAGCACAAACGAGGCACGGGGGAGGGCAAACCAGTTTCAGACGCCGCACAGTTACACAAGACACACAGGAATGCGGAATGACTAAATCGCCGTAAAAGCTCGATGCCTCGTCGATCCCTCCTTCAATCTAACGCTAAAAATATCTCAAGAGCCTTGCCTGGTGCCTTGAAAACTTCCGGAGACTACCTGTAGGCCTGCAAACTCCCCAAGCCTCACCTGTTGGTTTGGAAGCTCACCTGTTGGTTTGGAAGCTCACCTGTTGGTTCGGCAGCTCACCTGTTGGTTTGGAAGCTCACCTGTTGGTTTGGAAGCTCACTTGTTGGTTCGGCAGCTCACCTGTTGGTTTGGAAGCTCACCTGTTGGTTTGGAAGCTCACCTGTTGGTTCGGCAGCTCACCTGTTGGTTCGGCAGCTCACCTGTTGGTTTGGAAGCTCTCGAAGCCGTAGATGTCAAGCACACCAATGATTGACTTGGCATGGGGGTCCTGGCCGATAGACACGTTCACCTTGTGCACCAGCCTGGTGGGATCAGGGACGAGGGGGGGGGGGGGAGAAGGGGGGAAGCAGGGTGGTCCTTTGTAGAAGTTAGAGAGATAGGAGGACTGATAGGGCACCATGCACGCCAATGATGGACTTGGCATGGGGGTCCTGACCGATCGACACATTCACCTTGTGCACCAGCCTGGTGGGAGAGAGGGGAAAGAAGGGCGGCTGGTGGTGGGTGTGAGAAGAGAAGAAGCGTTCAAAGGGCAAGGGAAAGAGGGGGATCACACGACACACTGAGCACACCAATGTTGGACACGGAGCTTGGCATTGGCACAAGGGTCCTGCTGTGCACACAAACCACACCCCACCTCACACCACAGCACACCACACTCGAACACATAACACAGCTCACCAGTCAAAGAGCTTGGAGTAGATGGTTTTGGCGAGCGTGTCTCGGCTGATCACCGCTGCTAAAACACCACACACGCACACAACACACCCCATACACAAACCATACACCACAGACTACACACCACAAACCACACATACACCAAAAACATGCCACACTCCCGTCAAAGAGCTTCGAGTAAATGGTCTTGGCGAGCGTGTCTCTGCTGATCACCGCTGCTGCTGGGTCCAGCTCCGACGTGTTGCACCACACATGCAACACATTACACACCAGGAACATACCACCCTCCTGAAGTGCTTTTGAGTCGACTCAAAAGCAGACGTGTTGCACCACACATGCAACACATTGCACACCAAAAACACACCAAGAACATACCACCCTCCTGAAGTGTGAATGACCCACCAATCGAAGAGCTTGGAGTAGATGGTCTTGGCGAGCGTATCTCTGCTGATCACTGCTGCTGCCGGGTCCAACTCCCTCTTGATGTTCCCATCGCGAGTCACCAGCGTGCGAGTGATGAGTGATTCTCGCAGTGCTCGCCGATCGCACCTGCAGGTTAAGAGAGCAGGGGGGAAGAGCACTGCATCTCAGTTCTACGACATATCAACCCCCTCTCTTGGTGTTCCCGTCGCCAGTCACCAGTGTGCGCGTTATCAAAGACTCTCGTAACGCCTGCCATTTGCACCTATAGGTGAAACGGGGCAAGGGGGGAAGAGCACAGGAGAGCACAGCACGCACATCAACTCTCCCTTGATGTTCCCGAGGAGCTCCTTACCCGACACGTTGGATGAGTCAGGCCGCTTGTCCCCCTGCCCTGGTTGTTGTGACCACTGAATTACCAACCGACCCACCCACCAGAGCACCAACCTGCTGCGCATAGAAAGCTTGGCTTGTCTGCTTACCCGAGGAGCTCCTTGGCACCTGCGCATAGTGTCTGCTTACCCGAGGAGCTCTGTTGCGGCCTCGAGGTGGAACTTGGCCTTGTCGCCCGACACCTTGGACGAGTCGGGCTGCTTGCCTGCTTGCCTTCCTGATTGTGGTGACCACAAAGGTACAAACCAACCTAGCAGAGCACAAGCACTGCACTGCACTGCACTGCACTGCACTGCACTGCACTGCACCCCTCCCTGCCAGTCTTACCCGAGGAGCTCTGCCGCTGCTTCTAGGTGGAACTTGGCCTTGTCACCCGACACCTTGGACGAGTCGGGCTGCTTGTTTGCCCAAATTGCGACCACTGAAGAACCAACCAGCCCCCCAGGGCACCAAATGCACCCACCCCGTGCCGGTACGATGCACACGCACTACAACCCTCCCTCCTAGTCTTACCCAAGGAGCTCCGCTGCTGCTTCCAGGTGGAACTTGGCCTTGTCGCCCGACACCTTGGATGAGTCGGGCTGCTTGCCTGGGGCAAACGAGATGTTGCCCAGGTGCAGGATTGCTGCCACCACTCGGAAAATGGCGTCCTGGTGGGGAGAGAGAGGGGAAAAGGGGGATGGGGGATGGGGGATGAAGTTCATAGGAGCTGGCGTAGTAGCTCCAGCTTGCCTGGAGCGAAGGAGACGTTCCTCAGGTGAAGAATGGCCGCCACCACCCAGAAGATGGCGTCCTGGTGGAGAACGGAAGTAATGGGGTGAGGTGAGAGGTGGAATGGGAGGGACAGCAGTGAGTTCCCAGACGGCTAAAGGTTCATGCTTGCCCGGGGCGCGACGGGGACGTTCCCCCAATGCCACTACTGAACAGAGGCTTCGTGGAAGAGAGAACAGGCGGAGGGATGGGGGGGTAGGGTAGACCCGGAGGAGAGTCGTGGCATACCCATCTGCGTTGCTGCATGGAACAGAAAGAAGCCTCCACCGCTCTCAACCACTCTCAACCCGTCTGTCTCACCTGTTCCTGTGGCTGAGCCCCACCACGTCAATGGCTCTGCGAGTGGCAGCATACTCGTCCGCGTTGTTGCATGCAGTGGGCGGATCTCTTTAGTGTATTTCGCTAACTCGCCCCTCAGCACCGCTTTCAACCGCTCTCACCTGCTCTCAACCGCTCTCACCTGCTCTCAACCGCTTTCAACCGCTCTCACCTGCTCCAGGTGGCTGAGCCCCACCACGTCCATGGCTCTGCGGGTGGCAGGGCAGCATACTCGTCCGCATTATTGCTGTATCCAATCAGCTCGAAGCACGAGCTCTGGTCGGGAACAGGGGGTGTTCCGTGTTGCCACCGCTCTCAACCGCTTTCAACCACTGTCAACCGCTCTCACCTGCTCCAGGTGGCTGAGCCCCACCACGTCCATGGCTCTGCGGGTGGCAGCATACTCGTCAGCGTTGTTGCTGTACCCAGTTAGCTCAAAGCAGGAACTCTGGTTGAGGTAGTGGAACGTCTCTGGTGGGGCGAGCTTTAATTTTGCTGCTTCCTGAAACATACACGACAGGTATTGGAGCGAGGACAAGGGAGGTGGGAAGAAACAAGAGAGAGTTTGAGTTGACTCAGATGGCACAATCGTCCGCGTTGTTGCTGTATCTCGTCAGCCCAAAACACGATTTCTGGGAGAGGAAGCACTGGTAGCTTCCATTACGTTGACTCGTACGAAGTGTAGCACTAAAGCAGCTCATATCAAGAGAGGAGATGCGAGAAAGCACAGGAACCGTCAAGGAAAGCACCGTAAGGCAGAAAACGTCAAGGAGCATGCTCACTGCACGTCACGCATGGCGCCAGCACAGAGCTGGTAGAAGCAGTGGCAGTTGCGCTGCGCTAAGGGCGTATCTCAGTTCAGGTCATAGGCACTGTTTGGGTCATCCGAGATTCTTGGACGACCAATAAGGCGCATTTCAGCTACACTCCTGGAATACTATTGGTCCTCCTATGACCCAAAGTGCTTCTATGACCCGAAGTGAGATATGCCCTAAGAGTCAGAGGCCAACAGAAGCACTTAGCAAACTACTCGTTAGAAGACGCCCCAAAACATACCTCAGGGGTGGCACCGGCACAGAGCTGGTAGAAGCAGTGGTAGTTGCGCTCAGGATCAGAGGTCTGCACCACTCTGGACCGCTCTAGCAGGTACGTCCGCACTGCTGCCCCCGATATTCGCCCCGCCACATCAAACTGGATCTCCACAAACTTGCCAAACCGGCTGGTGCGATTTGGATACAGAGGTTCGGGAATCAGGTTTGGGGAGAAGGAGAGGAGGTTGTAGGGAAAAGGTCAGGTTACGGGATGGAGCGGTGTGGCATAGGTTGTAAAAAGCTTGCAGTTTGCAGTGTTGTATTGTATGAGAAGCTCGAACACTGGGTGACAGCAGCGAGGATGAGTTGAAATGTGGCGAGATGAAGGGAGATGAGAGGTGATGAGGTGTGATGAGGCAAGATGATGGGAGTGAGGGGAGATGAGATGTGATGAGGCAGGATGAGGTGAAATGAGGCGCTTAGGAAGTGCAGAGATGGCTCAGGGAAATGGAGAGGAGAGGTGTCACGAGGGGGGGGAGAGGGGGAGGGAGGAGGAGCCGCTGAGGGAGGGAATGGTGATGAAGCAAGGACAGACCTCGAGTTGTTGTTCCTGACTGTCTTGGCATTGCCAAAGGCTTCTAGGAGGGGATTTGACTGCCCGATTTGGAAAGAAGGGAGGGACGGGAGGGAGGGCAGGGGTAGAACGGAGGGAAGGGATGGGAGGGAGGGGTGAGAGGTGGGAGGGAGATGAGGAGTGAGGGAAGGAGGGAGAAGTAAAGGAAGCCAGAGAAGGAGGAGGGGAACAGGAAAAGCTTGAATCAACAGATTAGGGTTAGGGAGATGAAGAGTGCACCGACCCCTCCAATCCCAACCGCTCCCAACCAGCAGCATATGTGCATTGAGCCCACACACACATCAGATCGCATTGAACCAAAAACGTACGGCCTTCTCTAGTACACATACATCCACTCCACACACACGAGACAACCACCCACACACCCACCTCCAGCACTTGTGCTTCCACGGATTGCCTGCCCGCCCATGTAAGCGAGGTACTGCATGATGAGCTTCGTTGACTCCGTCTTGCCTGCTCCGCTCTTCCCATCCATACAATACCTGTGAATGTGTTTTCAGTCAACTTAAACCACTCCAAACGCCTACCTCCAGCACTTGTGCTTCCACGGATCGGCCCTCAGTGGCCCGCCCGCCCATGTAGGCCAGATACTGCATGATGAGCTTCGTTGTCTCTGTCTTCCCCGCCCCGCTCTCCCCGCTCACCAGAATGGACTGGCTCTCGCCACAGTCCAGCATGGCCCTGGGAGAGGAAGGAAAAGAGGGTATCGGGGTATGGGTATCGGAGACTGGTTCGCACTTCATCGTGTGCTTATCTTCTCACCAGGATGGACTGGCTCTCCCCACAGTCCAGCATGGCCCTGAGGAGCGGGGGGGAGGAAAAGGCAGTATGATGGGGTATGTGAGACTGGGTCGCACTTCATCATAAGCTGATCTTCTCACCAGGATGGACTGACTGGGCTGGCGCTACAGTCCAGCATGGCCCTGAGGGGGGGAGGGGGGGGAGTGAGAGGGTATGCGATATGGAGTTGAAGTGTGCTCATGTTCTCAGTCACCAGGATGGACTGGCTGGGCTGGCGCTACAGTCCAGCATGGCCCTGAGGGGTGAGGGGGAAGGGAGGTGGGGGGGACGTGGTTGAGCATTGTGTGTGGGGCATGGATGGAAGAATTGATGTTCGCTCGGGTTCTCACCAGGATGGACTGGCTTGAACCAGTCTAGCAAAGCGATGAGAGGGGAGGGGGGGGGAGAGTATTGAGCTTTGGCTGAGCCACACATAAATATGAACACACAAACACACTCTCATCCACACGCACGCACAAACAGATCTGCGCGCACATACACACACGCGCGAGGGCGCGCACATACACACACACGCGAGGGCGCACGCGCACACACACACGCGGTCAGGCGCCCACCTGTAAGCAGTCTCGGCGATGGCAAACACGTGCGGGCTGAGCTCGCCCAGGCGCACGCCCTTGTACTGCTCCATCATGGGCTGGCTGTACAGATGCGGCAGCCGCACCCCCCAGGCATGCACGCATAGACACACACCCACAGACACACACACACACACGCACGCACACACACACACACACACACACCCACACACACACACACACACACACACACACACACACACCGCCGGGCGCCCACCTGTAAGCAGTCTCGGCGATGGCAAACACGTGCGGGCTGAGCTCGCCCAGGCGCACGCCCTTGTACTGCTCCATCATGGGCTGGCTGTACAGATGCGGCAGCCGCACCCCCCAGGCATACACGCATAGACACACACCCACAGACACACACACACACACACGCACGCACACACACACACACACACACCCACACACACACACACACACACACACACACACACCCTGCCGGGCGCCCACCTGTAAGCTGTCTCGGCGATGGCAAACACGTGCGGGCTGAGCTCGTCCAGGCGCACGCCCTTGTACTGCTCCATCATGGGCTGGCTGTACAGATGCGGCAGCCGCACCCCCCAGGCATGCACGCATAGACACACACCCACAGACACACACACACACACGCACGCACACACACACACACACCCACACACACACACACACACACACACACACACACACACCGCCGGGCGCCCACCTGTAAGCTGTCTCGGCGATGGCAAACACGTGCGGGCTGAGCTCGCCCAGGCGCACGCCCTTGTACTGCTCCATCATGGGCTGGCTGTACAGATGCGGCAGCCGCACCCCCCAGGCATGCACGCATAGACACACACCCACAGACACACACACACACACACGCACGCACGCACACACACACACACACACACACACACACACACACCACCGGGCGCCCACCTGTAAGCTGTCTCGGCGATGGCAAACACGTGCGGGCTGAGCTCGCCCAGGCGCACGCCCTTGTACTGCTCCATCATGGGCTGGCTGTACAGATGCGGCAGCCGCACCCCCCAGGCATGCACGCATAGACACACACCCACAGACACACACACACACACACACACACACACACACACACACACACACACACACACACACACCGCCGGGCGCCCACCTGTAAGCTGTCTCGGCGATGGCAAACACGTGCGGGCTGAGCTCGCCCAGGCGCACGCCCTTGTACTGCTCCATCATGGGCTGGCTGTACAGATGCGGCAGCCGCACCCCCCAGGCATGCACGCATAGACACACACCCACAGACACACACACACACACGCACGCACACACACACACACACACACACACACCGCCGGGCGCCCACCTGTAAGCTGTCTCGGCGATGGCAAACACGTGCGGGCTGAGCTCGCCCAGGCGCACGCCCTTGTACTGCTCCATCATGGGCTGGCTGTACAGATGCGGCAGCCGCACCCCCCAGGCATGCACGCATAGACACACACCCACAGACACACACACACACACACACACACACACACACACACACACACACACCGCCGGGCGCCCACCTGTAAGCTGTCTCGGCGATGGCAAACACGTGCGGGCTGAGCTCGCCCAGGCGCACGCCCTTGTACTGCTCCATCATGGGCTGGCTGTACAGATGCGGCAGCCGCTGAAACGGATTCACTGCGATCAAAATGTTGCCAGTGTATGTCTGCAAAAGTCAAAATCGACAAGCACGCATGAGCAGACAAGGCAAAAGCAGGATGAATTGAGAGGTGTTGAAAAGGGTTCACGGGTGATCAGGATGTTGCCCGTGTATGTCTGCAGTCGCAGTGGAACAACACGCACAAGTGGACACGGGAAAGGCAAGCCCAGTCAGAGATCAGAATGCTTCTCGTGTATGTCTGCAGCCAGCGTGGTGCAGGTACCGGTATGCTAGCTGTTGCATGTACGGATAAGCTAGCTTGGTGCAGGTACCGGTATGCTAGCTGTTGCATGTACGGATAAGCTAGCTTGGTGCAGGTACGGTGATGCTAGCTTGGTGCAGGAACGGTGATACGCGCTTGGTGCAGGTATGAATATGCCCATCTGTCTCACACATCTCGGCTCGCAGTCTCACACACGCGACTCTGGACTATTGTTGAGCATTACAAAGAACTCGTCAAGGCCGTATCTTGTAGGGTGGAATTTCACACACATCTCGTCCAGGCACAGGGAACACGTGTGGACTCTGAAGGTGCCTCACATAAATCTCGTCAAGTCTGTAGCGCGTGGCGAGGTTGCTGAGCACGCCCGGCTCGTGACGGTACGCCAGCTTGTCTCACACGCATCTCTAACTGGCAGTCTCACGCACACATGTCTCTTACTCCCACCGGCCAGCCTTACGTAAATTTCATCAAGGCCGTAGCGCGTGGCGAGGTTGCTGAGCACGCCCGGCTCGTGCAGGTACGCCAGCTTCGTCATGTCGTCCACTCCGCCGCTCGGCGCGTCGGGGTCCTTGGGATGCACGTTGGATAGCTTTAGAGTGGCCTGCGGTGGAATGGGGGGAAATGTTTTCGGTCAAGTCGAAACGTTCGCTTAGCGCGTGGATCCTTGGGATGCACGTGGGTTAGCTTCAACGTGGCCTGCGGAGGAATTGGAGGGAATGCGTTTTGCAGAGGGAATGACACGCGTCATCCTTGAACGGAAGCTAGGACCCGGGTCCTTGGGATGCACGTGGGACAGCTTCAGGGTGGCCTGCGGTGGAATGGGAGGGAATGCTTTGAGTCGAGTCAAAACGCCGCTCGGCGCGTCCGGGTTCTTAGGATGCACGTGGAATTAGCTTCAGGGTGGCCTGATTCTGCTTTAGTGGAGATGGTATGCAGTGAGCTCGATATGCGGTCAGAATAAGGCGTGAGAGTAACGACTGATGAGGTCTTAAAATGAAAAGAAAATCAGCGCCGTGTGAACTGGCAGCAGGAACAATGGTCTCGACATAGGCGAAATATGGGCCGTAATACGCTAAACTGACTAGAAAACGGACCTCTTTCCGTCCAATCTTGACGGTAACAGTCTTGCTGTCTACTCCGAGTACTTCTGCCGGCATCCATGCCTTCTGCGCGTCCTCCACCCACACGTACGACCCCACCACTATGTTGCTCGCCGTGGCCTACACGATCAGGAATTAAGAGAGCATGTTAGAACTAGAGACGATAACTGTAGCGAGAAAATCTGTTCTTAAAGTAGTAACGTACCATTTTCGCTGACGAATGTCTGTTCAGCGAGTTACTAGGCTAGAGGTATCTATCCAATCCGCATGGCTATACGTAAGCTACAGAGTAACTACTAACAGTTCGCCAACGGGAACGCGTGAAAATCGGCACCATTCACTAGTTCCCTATATCGTAAGAGGTCACATAGCTTTTAAAGATCGCCGGTCTAGGGAGGTCGAACAGAGTCCGAAGTTTGAATAGGCCGTGTCAGGTTCCAGAGAATGATTGCGTGTGTTGTTTGAAGAAGATTGACCTAGCCTGCACCGTTGAAGTGCAAGTTTATCGAACGAAAACGCGTGAAAACTGACACTCTCAACTCTAGTTCCCTAGACCACAATAGGTCAAATAGCTTCTAAAACGGCGTCGGCTTGGGGGAGGTAGAAGACACACGCCAGTTTGAACAGGCTGTGTCAGGTCTCAGAGAAACGCAGGAAACGCAACGGCCAAGCTTGGAAGAAACTAGACCATGGGAACGGCTGAGATTGCTTTGGGGATGACGAAGATGAGGGAACGGCTGGGATGGGTAGCACCGAACAAAACGGGGAGAAACAGCGTAACGGACGAAGCGCAGCTGCGGGCAAGATCAAGGTTCCAGCAGCCAATCATGGTCGCCCTCGTCCACGCCAAACCAAACCACTTTCGTGCCGCACCTTCCTGACTTTCCACGCTCTCCCTCCAAACTGCCGCTTGGCTTGTGGGGAACGTGGCAGGTTGCATTCTGCATGTGTGACACATAAAATTGGCGACAAAAGCCCCAACGTGTCCCATTACAGAAAGTTTCATATCAGAGTTGAAAAGAAATTTCTCTAGTCTTTAGTATAATAGTGAATGACATCAAAAAGCTGGCCAAGTGTACTATTATGCAGTCCCGACTCGCGAAACGGCGAAAGAACGACTCTCTGACTCATTGGCCAGCAGTTCTGACACACCGATGGAGGGAAACTGCTCTCGCTGTAACCAACAAAATTGTTTCGTTACGACCAAGATCACTTTCGCATCGTTACCAGCCCACTCAAGGTTGGAGCCTTCAGGCCCAGGCCTTCGTTACCTACCTCATATATTGTTAGGCGTCCCGTTTCTTCCAGAGCTTTGTGGAAAATTCAAGCCAGTGATCAACGGGCGATCAGCTATAGAACCCTTTAAAAGTGGTTCAGATAACGGCCGAACGACCAATAGGCGGCAATTAGGGACAGAGATCAACTGTGCTTGTGTTGCTCCGAAAAATCGGTCACGTCGCGATCTTTCGTTACAGCTGTACACGTGACCTTTCTCAACCGCTTCTGCGTGCGATCACGTTTCCTAGCACGCGACGCGTCTTCTCCGGTGTGATTTTTCAATATGGAGGTACAGCTCACAAGTGTTTTCGTGTTGTGTTTGCCCGATCCATACTTATTCTCTGAAGCGGATCCGATTAGGAATGCCTTGCAGACTCCGTTCCTTCCACGCAACCCGCTGCGGATCCGTGCTGTTTTTTGGCGGAGGAGAGCTTGAAGTGGCGCTTCACTGAGATAGAGCCTATTTAAGAATCATGGATCCGTCACCGTCCGCAATTGCGATGGCCTAAGTGACGTTCTGCCCGACGCACCGGGTGGAAGCGACGTGCTGCTGGAGTTCCGCGCTGGGAGGATGACTGTCCATCCAAGACATCTCCGGTTTCCTGCTTGATAGATCGCGCCCCTCTCCTATGTCCATGGGTCTAATTTGTGGGCCAGTCCGACGCACCGAATGATGGTGATGTGCTGCTGGAGTTCCATGCTGGGAGGATGACAGTTCATCCAGCCATCATCCGGCCTCCTTATGATAGATCTCTCTCCTCTTTCCTCTCCATGGGTGTGGTTTGTGTGGCAGACTGACGCACCGAGTGATGGTGACGTGCTGCTGGAGTTCCGTGCTGGGAGGATGACTGTCAGCGGCAGCACTGTGAAACCCGACCCTCGCAAGGGCCTGTTCCGGCTGATCAGGGTCAGTTTCGGGGTCGTATTGTGGATTCGTAAAGATCAAGGTTGAACCTAGATCTTTGCCATTGCTTTGGGTCATAAGTAGTTTCGTTCGTTCAAGGTCCCTGGGTCTAAAGATGTCTGACTGGTTTTGAGCGGGTTTCAGTGGGTCTGAGTGAGTAGGTTTGTGGGTTTGTGAGCACACATGTTGTTTTCTCTTCCCTTGTCGCACTGCCTGCTTCATTGTCTAACTACCTCCTTGTCTTTTCACCCTTTCCCCACCAGACGGAGGACCTGCTGCTCCACCTGCAGTGGCTGGATCGCACCACCCAAGCCGTAGAGGAGGACATGGTGGTGTTCCCAGATGAAGCTAAATTCGAAAAGGCAAGTCAGGGATTCGGAATTGGAATCAGCCCTGAGTCGGGGTGGTGTTGGGCTGTCTCTTGCCTTGAGATCTTACAACTGTGGGTCGCACCACCCAAGCTGTTGAGGGCGATATGGTGGTGTTCCCAGTCCAAGACCAAGCAAAGTTCAGAAAGGCAAGCTGGAAGTCGAGTGTCTAGCTTTGTGTTGTTGAAATCCTATGGATCTTGTTCGTTGTGTTGCCATGAAAACTTTCGCGAGGTCCAACCAAGACACCTCAACACTGGACCGCCGACTAACATCACCGGTGGTGATGTGAGCGCGCGTACGTGCTCTTATGGCTGAGGTGACTTCTGGGCCGAATCAAGGAAATCCTGACTTGTTGCTCTTCTCTCCGTTCGTCTCTCCAGGTCTCCCAGTCCAGTGGGCGAGTGTTCGTGCTCTCCTTCAATGAGGACGACCGCAAGCTCTTCTTCTGGATGCAGGTGCGCGCGCTTGGATGGGTGCAGGTGGGCTTGCATGGGTGGAGGTGGGATTGCATGGGGGCAGGTGGGCTTGCATGGGTGGAGGTGGGATTGCATGCGGGCAGGTGGGCTTGCATGGGTGGAGGTGGGATTGCATGCGGGCAGGTGGGCTTGCATGGGTGGAGGTGGGATTGCATGCGGGCAGGTGGGCTTGCATGGGAATGGGAGCTTCACTCACCTCTCCAGGTGTCCCAGTCCAGTGGCCGCGTGTACGTGCTCTCCTTCAATGAGGACGACCGCAAGCTCTTCTTCTGGATGCAGGTGTGTGCACTTGCTTGGTTGTAGATGTGTGTGCATCCTTGGGTGCAGGTGTGTGCTAGGATGTAGGTGTGCCAGCATGGGAATGGGAGCTTCACTCACCTCTCCAGGTGTCCCAGTCCAGTGGGCGAGTGTACGTGCTCTCCTTCAATGAGGACGACCGCAAGCTCTTCTTCTGGATGCAGGTGTGTGCACTTGCTTGGTTGTAGATGTGTGTGCATCCTTGGGTGCATGTGTGTGCTAGGATGTAGGTGTGCCAGCATGGGAATGGGAGCTTCACTCACCTCTCCAGGTGTCCCAGTCCAGTGGGCGAGTGTACGTGCTCTCCTTCAATGAGGACGACCGCAAGCTCTTCTTCTGGATGCAGGTGTGTGCACTTGCTTGGTTGTAGATGTGTGTGCATCCTTGGGTGCATGTGTGTGCTAGGATGTAGGTGTGCCAGCATGGGAATGGGAGCTTCACTCACCTCTCCAGGTGTCCCAGTCCAGTGGGCGAGTGTACGTGCTCTCCTTCAATGAGGACGACCGCAAGCTCTTCTTCTGGATGCAGGTGGGCTCGCTTACTAGTCCATATGCTTGAGATTTGCTTTTCTGAGTGTGACTATCCTTCACCTCCGGCCATTCCTCCACTGATCCATCCCTTGATCCTTCTCCTGATCCATCTTCACCAAACCAACCCCCCCCCCCCCCTCCACACTATTTTTCTCAGGAGCCCAAGGCACACAATGACGAGCATCACTGCTCCGAAGTTAACCGGATACTGAACGAAGCTTGTAAGTCGTTTCATACAGGGAACGGCAACTGGCCAGAGTTGTTTCATTCCGCACTGAAGGATCTGGCTATTTCTCGTTTCATCAGTCTTCCTACGCAGACCTTTCATTTCAATCCTAATGCGATTTGTCACAAAAGGCCTTGAGGCAAAGCGTTTGGGGTGTCTAATTTAAGATCTTAAGCGTTTTGGGATTTTTAAGTTCTGAAAGTCAAAGGCGTGTCTGATTTTGATCTTTAAGACCTGCGTCAAAGGCTTTGGGGTGTCTGATTTTGTTCTTTAATATCTTAAGGTCAAAGGCTTTAAGGTGTCTGATTTTGTTCTTTAATATCTTAAGGTCAAAGGCTTTGGGGTGTGTGCCGCCGAAGTCCTGAGGTTGATGCTCCCTAAGTGGGGCACCTGTGTGCACGTGTATGTTGGGTTAAATGCTAATCCAATGTGTGTTCCTTTCGATGCTGTATGCATGCAGGGTTGCTAGAGGAGGACGCCAGGATGCTGGATGCAGCAATGATGGACTCTGAGGCCGATGCTCCCCGTGTGTGTTGGTTGGATGGAACTTGGCCACATGATTCGCATCACATGTGTGTATGTGTGTTCTGATACCCCATTGCAGGGCTATTAGGGGAGGAGGACGACAGGGTGCTGGATGCAGCAATGATGGACTCTGAAGCTGATGCTCTTCTGTGTGGGGGACACATGTACTCACCTGTGTGTTCCAATCCATTGTGTGTACCCTGTCGTCTTTGGAGTTGCAGGGCTATTGGAGGAGGACGACCGGGTGCTGGACGCAGCAATGGTGGACTCTGAAGCCGATACTCTGTGTGTGTGGTCCATATACGTGTTGATGCCCCATGCAGGGTTGCTAGAGGAGGACGACCGGGTGCTGGACGCAGCCATGATGGACTCTGAGGCCGATGCTCTTGTGTGGGGAGCATATTGGCACATGTATTCACCTGTGTGTTTCAATCCAATGTGTGTTCTGATACCCCATTCCAGGGCTACTGGAGGAGGACGACCGGGTGCTGGACGCAGCCATGATAGACTCTGAAGCCGATGCTTTCGCGGAGAACGAGGAGGGTCATCTGGGGGAGGCGGATATGCATGACGATGGGGACAGCCACCAGGTGCTTGCGCCTGCAGCAGCACAGCAGCCCAGGTAGGTAGTAGTAGGGAGTCGTTCGTTTTGCTTGTAAAGGAGGAGGGCCATCTGGGGGAGGTGGATATGCATGACGATGGGGACAGTCACCAGGTGCTTGCGCCTGCTGTACAAGACGTTGCAGCACAGCAACCCAGGTAGGCGTTAGGTAGCATTGTCCATTGCATGTGAGGAAGGAGGGTCATCTGGGGGAGGGCGGATATGAATGATGACGGGAACAGCCACCAGCTCACAGGACAGGCGCCGGCCCGGCAGCACTACAGCAGCCCAGGTAGGTGGTAGGGAGGGCAGTCATCTAGGAAGGGTCATTTGGGAGAGGCGGATATGCACGATGATGGGGACAGCCACCAGCCCACAGCACCTGCAGCAGCACAGCAGCCCAGGTAGGGAGTCAGAAGCATTGTCCATTGCATGTGGGGGAGGAGATATCTGGGTGGGGGCTATCTGGAGGAGGTGGATATGCTTGATGACGGGGACAGCCACCAGCTCACAGCACCTGCACTGCAGCAGCACAGCAGTGATCGGAAGCACTCTTTTGTCATAGCATGTAGGGGAGGAGAGGGACATCTGGGGGAGGTAGATATGCATGATGATGGAAACAGCCACCATCTTATGAGGCAACTTCTGAGACGTCTCAAAAGGAGATATGCATGATGATGATGGGGATAGCAAGCATCTTATGAGGCACCTCCAGCTGTAGGGTTTTTTTGAGAATTTTCAAAAAAAAACTTACAGCATCATGGGGATAGCAAGCATCTTATGAGGCACCTACAGCAGCACAGCAACGCAGGTAGTTAGGAGGGAGCTTCTTCCATTGGATGTGGGGTAGGGGATGGGGCTAGGGAGGGCCATCTGGGGGAGGCGGATATGAGCATTAACGAGGTTGCTTGCTTTTCCTGCAGAAAGCGACCAGAACCATCACTTCTTGAACTATCATCCCTGGCCTTGCCTTTGCCCACAGACCAGCCCGCAGCAGTGGCGCGGCGCGCCGTGCCGGCAGACCCACAGGGGGCGTTCTTTTTCCATGGAGAATCAACGTGATTATCACTTCTTTCCTGTTTCCTCTCTTCCCTCTCTTGCCCGGCCCTACAGACCAGCCGGCAGCAGTGGCGCCGTGCCGGCAGGCCCACAGGGGCCGTCCGGTCTTGGCGACCTGAGAGGCAGTGCTGCTGCAGCTGGTGCTGCTGGCGCTGCTGGCGTTGATGCTTCTCTTGGTGCTGCCCCTGCTCCTGGTGCTCCTGGTGGTGCTCCTGCTGCTGCTGCTGCTGCTGCTGGGAGAGTAGGGGGCCCAGTGCAGTTGGCGCAGCTGCAGAGCATTCTGGCGGGACTGGGCCAAATACAAGTGCCGCAACACTGTGAGTGGAATGACAAACCCTTTCCTGTCTCAACCCTCCTTTTGGTGCAACTGCCTTGGTAGCCTGGTACATCCAGGGCAACTGGCTGCTGGTGCAATTGGGGCAGTTGCAGAGCATTTTAATGTGTTAGGGCCAAGTACAAGTGCCTCATGTGTTAGGGCCAAGTACAAGTGCCTCATGTGTTAGGGCCAAGTACAAGTGCCTCATGTGTTAGGGCCAAGTACAAGTGCCTCATGTGTTAGGGCCAAGTACAAGTGCCTCATGTGTTAGGGCCAAGTACAAGTGCCTCATGTGTTAGGGCCAAGTACAAGTGCCTCATGTGTTAGGGCCAAGTACAAGTGCCTCATGTGTTAGGGCCAAGTACAAGTGCCTCATGTGTTAGGGCCAAGTACAAGTGCCTCATGTGTTAGGGCCAAGTACAAGTGCCTCATGTGTTAGGGCCAAGTACAAGTGCCTCATGTGTTAGGGCCAAGTACAAGTGCCTCATGTGTTAGGGCCAAGTACAAGTGCCTCATGTGTTAGGGCTAAGTACAAGTGCCTCCACACGGTGAGTGGAATGCGTGCCCCGTCGAACGTGCACACCCGGTGGCCGACATCATCGTCCAAAGTTATTTTTCCTCGCCCGGCACAGTGCTACTTATTGCGAGTCACCACCTTCGACAGCCGCTAAACTCAACCTTTCACAACTGAGTTTGACAGTCGATCATCCATAATCACTTTCGCATCTATTTCTGCATCTATTTTTTCTAATTTCATTTTTTTAAAATTGGCAGAAGACGGAGGAGTTATAGGGAAGGAAATGGCGCTGCAGAGGAGAGGGTCAATGCCATGAAATGATGAGCTGGATGGCGCCGAAATACTTGTTGCGAGGAGTGAGGCCAAAAGGATTGGAGTTGATTGTAGGGAGGATGATATGCGGAGCGTTCAAAAAGTTTACACAGCAGTAGCCAGCAACAGCAAAAGGTCCAGTCTGCTGTTGTTGTTGTTGCTGCTGCTTGCTACTTCTGTGCAAACTTTTCAAGCACTCTGTATATCATCCTTTCTACAATCAGCTCCAATCTATGATGGCATCGCTTCTCAGCAACAATTATTTCGGCACTATCCAGCTCATCATTTCGCGGTATTGACCCTCTCCTCTGCAGCGCCATTTCCTTCCGCTGCAGCTCCTCCACTTTTTGTTAAAAGAGAAGTTATGAGATCAAAAAAAAAATATGAAGAAAGAGATGCTAAAGTAATTATAGATGATGGATTATCAAGTTCAGTTGTGAAATGTTGAGTTTGACGACTTTCGAGGGTGGTTACTCGCAGTAAGTAGCAGGGTGCAGGGGTGAGGAAACAGAACTTTGGTCGATGATGTCGGGAACTGGGTGTGCACGTTCGACTGGCCCTTCCCTTTTTGAAACTGCGTGCAGTGAAGGATTGTGAAGATGGACTAATTATTCTGATGCCTGAAGTCTTCATGGGCACTCTCAGCGATGCCATTGTGTGTGCATCCCTTCGTGTGTGCATGCAGTGAGAGCAAGGAGCATGAAGCTGACGGACATTCTCAAGCCTGAGGTCATGATGAGCACCCTCAGCAATTTCATAGTGTCACAAAGTCCCTCCCCCTGTCCCACACCCGTGCGCTGTGCCCTGCTGGCCCATCCCCTCGTTTTTATGCGCAGTGAGAGTGAGGAGCATGAAGCTGACAGACATTCTCAAGCCTGAAGTCATGATGAGCACCCTCAGCGATGGCACTGTGCAGCAGAGACTGGCCGAGTTCCTCCCACCCGTAAGTGCCCTCCCTGCTCTGTGTTAGCTGGTCTCAGAACTTTGCTGCGCTCTATGGCGTAGGTTTTCGTCATTCCAAAACGCCGTTCTCAAGCTTGAAGTCGTGATGAGCACTCTCAGTGATGGCACAGTGCAGCAGAGTCCGGCTGAGCTCCTCCCCCCTGTAAGTACCCTCCGTGCTCTGTGTTGAGTCCATCTCAAATCCCCTCGTTTCTCTGTATGTTTAACACATCCGTTGCTTTTACTTGTTCTCGTTCTCGTAATGGTTGTGATTCCTTGCTTCCTCTTTGGGCCCGCCCTACCTTCTTGTGTTGACCCATGACTTGTGGTAAGACAGTACTAGCTATCGAGTCAATTCAGAAAGTACCTTGTACCACAACACTGAGCTCACTTTTTGTGCCTTTTCTTGATAAGCAGGAGTTGCGGAAGCCAGAAGATATGCGGCAATTGGTGCTGAGCCCGCAGTTCCAGCAGCAGCTGGACACCTTTTCGGAGGTCAGCATTATTACTTTCAAACCCGTCCTCTCTCGTTTCTTTTGCAGTACCACACACACACACACACACTTTCCATGTGTCATCTTCTGCCCATCTCCCACCACCCACTTGCTCTCGTTACGCTTTTGATCTTGTCCCTCCTGTTTCTCTCATTGCTCTCATCTCAACCCTCAATTGCAGGTGTTGCTTGCTGGGAAGATTGACCTCTCGCAGTTTGGCATCGATGTGAAAAAGTGTAAGCACGTAGACAGCCCTTTTTCTATTACTCGGCCATTTTTTCAATCAACCCAAGAATCACCATACTGTTTTCCGGCATGGCTAAAGCTGTCAGGCCTGAAGGGGAAGCAAGCCTTCTTCTCCGTGTTTTTCTCTGTGTTTGCAGATGGGTACGGAGTGGTGTCTTTTCTGGAGGCTATTGAAGACACCACCCCTGCACCATCTGCTTTGGCCACTGCTGGTGAACCTGCCTCCGATACTCCTGCTGCTGCTGCTGTTGTTATTGCCCCCGAAAGCGCATCTGCGGCTGCCCCTTCTGCTGCTGCTGCTGCTGCTGGGGAGGCAGTCCCTCGACCAGCAGCAGGGGTGGAACAGGGAGAGGAGTCAGCGGAGAAGAAGGAAGGGACTGGCAGATAACACGTGGTCAGGTGTCGTTTGTTTCAACTGACAACTGACTAGAAGCAGTGATTATGCCACTCAGTGATAAAATAGGATAAAATGTGGTTGTCATTGCCTGTTATGTTCAAGGACAGATGTGATGTTACATGTAAGACTGTATTAAGTTTTCCTCCGGTTAACTAACAGAGGATTGTAAGAGAGCCTGATTTCCCAGGATTATGTGTTAATGCTGTAAGGTGGAGTGCAACTGTGTAACATTGTCCGTTACTAGCGAACATGTGACACTTTGTCGCGTGAGGTACAAATGTGGATTACGCGTGAAGATACACGAGGGCTGTTACAGAAGCGACCACTGTTGGGTTCGGTTCGGTTTCTAGATTTATTGTCCGGGTATGAGTCGAGAGCTGTGAAACGGAGAGTGATGATTTCGAAGGTTTCGGAACGCTTCGTGCAGCCATTCGCACGTCGTCATCCTCGTGCACATGTCACACGCTCTTGGGAATGACGGAAGGAATGTCAGAGACAACTTTGGTCGTTTTGGCGGCTTAGGGCGTGTTAAATCCGCACACAACTCCGAAAATGGGGTGTGGCCGAATTTTCGACGACAAAATGGTCGTCATATTTTTCGCGAACAACAACGAGGCGGCCGAATCAGAGTCGACTCTTTTACAGCCAAATTTTACAGTTTTGGCGATTGAACAACTTTGGTGACCGATTTGGAGGCCGGTTCGAAAAAGTTGTTAAATTTGCGGCTGCTACAGTAGTTGAGTATGTGCGGTTGTCGCAAACTGGTTACTTTCGTAAAAACGGCCCGACGGATTTTGTCCGGTTTTTCTGAGTTTCCGATTTAACACGCCCTTAGCTGTTCCACATTCGATCTAGTATAGAAACCTTAAAGCGACGGGCAACTTTTGGCAGTGTTGGGTTCAGAAGTTTTTTTTTTGAACCAGGCTTGCCAGTGCGAAAGTGCTGGCTGGCGAAAACCAGGATTTCGTGCGGACACTTTCCATCCGCAGTAACAGTTCGCCAGGGTTCTGGGTTTTGGGTGGCAAATGTGCACCGTCGCTTTAACAGGCGGCTGGATTAACTAGTTCACAGCTAGACCAAAGGGTAATGTTGTTGCTGAGACTGTAGTTCGCAGCCTTCTTTGAATTCAGTTCCTCACGTTTGCGTCACGTGCTACACTGTAGCAGAGGTTCCCTGATCACTAACTATATTGTAGTAGCAGAGCGTTCACTGACTATATCGTGTATGGGCAGGGTCGATATCAGTGAAGCTCGTGGCCGTTTTTGAGGCGCCTTTATTTCTTTTTTCACACACTCATGCCTTTCTAATATGAGCCGAGAAGAACAGGGTCGATATCAGTGAAACACATGGCGGCCTCTCTCGTGACTCCTGCCTGCGGGTCTATTGTCGATAACCTCCGGTCGAGTTGTAATTTGTTACAAGCACGTCCGCTTATAGCAATTCCGCGTTCTGTCACTTCTTCATCCAGTTTATCCTTGGCATCCAGTCGCGCTATAGTGTTTTCTGGAGGCTCGAAACCTGTTATACTGCAGCCAACAGGGCCGTCGCGAGTATCGAATTCGAGAGGGAATTCGAAATGTTTGATTTGTGATGTCACGTCGGTAGCACGGCTTTGTGTGGTAACCCCCCTCTCAACGTCTGTTTTCAAACGGGAACCTCTTGAAGCCCTCTCCCTTGGAAACGGTATTCCCAAGGGGATTCGACCACGATGGAAGTTCATTGGCGGGAACCAGACTCAACTAGGGGACACGTGGCAGCTGATGGAGACACGGCGGCATGGGTGGGCTCGCGAGGGGGAGAGCGAGGGCGGGGGTGTGACTGCAGCGAGGGACGGGCGATACAAGTTCAACCTGAACGAGTACATGGTGACTATAGAGAAGCCGCTGGGGATCTGGTTCTCCCAGACGGATAGCGGAGCAGTTTATGTCGAAGCACTGCAGGAGAAGGTACGTACACGGAAAGGGAATAACCACGCCGGGGATAATGTTTTGGCAGGAAGTGCAGGGCATATGTTCGCTTAACTGTGTTACTGTAAAAGGTTATTAATATGATCTGACCATTTTCATCGTGGCGAATGTGATTGTATCAGGGGAACGCAGAGCGCGGGCAGATGGTGATGGTGGGGGATGTCTTGCGACAGGTGTCGGTTGCTCAAGGCACGCCGCTTACACGAGTCGTTGATCTTCAATCCCTCGTGTATGTATGATGCCGCTCGCACGATTCAGTGACCTTTTATCGCTCGTGTAAGTCACCTTTGAGACGTCTCAAGAGGTATGGAGAGGCAGGTGTCAGTGGCTCAGGGCTCACCACTCACTCGAGTCATTGACATTCAACTCAATCGCTCGCTCAGGTATGTGTGTGTGAACATACATAAGGAGTATGTGCTTCTAGATCCCTCGTATATGTGTTAAAGTATGTATGTATGTCCTCCATCTCTCAATCCTCAATGCACGTATGTGTGACCTTCATCCCTCATTCCCTACAGAACCGCAATCGAGGAAGGCAAGGGTCCATGCACGTTCGTGTTAGAGCGAGCCCTTCACGCCCCCACCACCCAACGCATCATCCTCTCATTTGGTTCAAACTCGTCCCCTTTGCCCCCTCAATCTCAACACTTTGCAGAACCGCAATTGAGGAGGGTAAGGGCCCTTGCACGTTCGTGCTAGAGAGAGCCCTTCACGCCCCCACCACCCAACGCATTATTCTCTCGCACCCTCTCCGCTCCGACAATCCCGGCCGCTCAGCAGCTGCCACGTGGCACCACCCGTCCAGCTGGCCGCGCTACAGTGCCAGCAGTGCCATGTCAGCACGGACACTGTTCATGAGGGGGGGAGCTGGGCGGGTGGGACTTGTGTCGTTTTCTGAGTTAAGGCCACATGGGGAGAAGAGGAGAGAGAGGAGGGAGTGGGGTGGGGGACAGGGAAGGGGGGAGGGTAGGGTGGAGGAAGGGACGAGGGAGGGGAGTGAGGGGAGGACGGGAGAGGAGAGAAAGGGTGGATCGGGGCAAAGTCAAGAGCAAGAATATGGCATTAGTGATGCTGGTGGTGGCACTGATGTTGAGAGCGAGGAGAGGGGTGAATTAAAGGAGAAGGGAGAAGTGAGAAGAGAGGTGAGGGGTGGTGGACAGAGGGAGAAAGTGGGTGAATCAGTGGGGATGGTGGTAGCAGCAAGAGGAGAGGGAGAGCTGGGGAATGAGACAGCTTTAGGTGTGAACGAGTCTGTAGTGATCCAGCATGTTAGAGAGGCAGAGGTAAGGGTAGCGAGGGAAGGGGAGGGGCGTCAGGAGGATGGGGGGAAGGTGGGGGATGGGGGGCAGGTGGAGGGTGGGGGGGAGGTGGAGGGTGGAGGGGAGGTGGAGGGTGGAGGGGAGGTGGAGGGTGGAGGGGAGGTGGAGGGTGGAGGGGAGGTGGAGGGTGGGGGAAAGTTGGAAGACCGGGGGAAGGTGGAGGGGGTGGGCGTTCCAGAAGGAAGGGGGAAGATGAATGAGGGGTTGGATGAAAAGGAGGAGAAGAGTGTACACGGGGAAGGGAGCATGGGAGATGGAGAAGGGGAGAAAAGGGTGGATGTGGGGATGGGAGAGGAAGAAGGTTTGAAGGGTGGGGAGGCACAGAAGGCGGGGGGGAGGGGTGTGAGGGCGATACTGGGAGGCACTTTATGGGGTAAGAAAAGGAAGACAGGGAGGGCGAAAGGAGAGGGGGGAGAGGGGAAGGAACGGGTGGAGCAAGCACAGGCGGAGCCAGAGTGGGTCCTATTTCCATTCTTTGAGGGGAAGCTTGTGTCTGGCTCGGACTCAGGTCCGGATTCCGGAGCTGATGAGAGGACCGGTGAGCAGGACGCAACTGGTTCGGGTCCAATGTTGGAAAGTCGAGCAGCTGAAGCCCAAGCCTCTGAAATCCAAGGCACCCTATCCACCGAAGCTGACGTAATTGTTGGAAAGGAAGGAGGCTTGGCAGAAGAGAGGGCTTCTGGCCGGGAAGCAAGCTCAGGAACTGAGGCTGAGGGAGGCGGAGCTGGGGCAGGTGAGGCTGGGTCAGGTGAGCCTCGGGCAGGTGTAACCCCAGCTATGGGAAATGAGGCTCGAGAAGCTAGTCTAGAGAAGATCGACCTGGGAGATAAGGCCCCGGTGAGAAAAGGGCAGGGGCAGGAAGAGAGGACGGGAGAGGACGAGGACGATGGGGCGGAGTGGGCGCAAGCAGCAGAGGCAGCAGCCGCTCTTGCAGCGGCTATGAGAGGAGGGAGTGGAGAGGAGGGCAGAGAAGGCGACGAGGAGGGTATGGGAGTGAGGGGCGATAGGGGCGAAAGGGAGGGAGGCGAGGTGGGGGAGGGGGAGGGTGAGAGGGAAGAGTGGTTTGGGGACGGGAGGCAGCAGGGGAGGAAGGACGCGGATTGGCAGTGGCCAGAGCGTGGCTTCTGGGATGCTTCGTCTGGGAAGGACGGGGGAGTGGAGGGGGAGGGGAAGTGGTGGGGGCTTGGGGTGGGGCGGGTGGATGAATTTGTGGAGGCGTATACAAGAGGTGTGGGGGATTCACGATTCGAGCCGCTGCATTCCCCCACTCACACACAGGTGAGAGAGAGCGTTGCAGATTGATTTTGAGAATTTTCAAAATCAATCTCAAACAAGAGAGAGCGTTGCATGTGGTGCGTGTGGTGTATGGCTCAAGCACAGCGAGTGGGGGCTTGGGGTGGGGCGGGTGGATGAATTTGTGGAGGCGTATACGAGGGGAGTTGGGGATTCGCGGTTCGAGCCGCTGCATTCGCCCACTCACACACAGGTGGGGGGGAGTGGTGTGTGTATTCTGTATGATATGATGTGGCATAAGCACAACTTGTGGGGGCTTGGGGGTGGGGTGGGTGGATGAATTTGTGGAGGCGTATACAAGAGGCGTGGGTGATTCGAGATTCGAGCCGCTTCATTCCCCCACTCACACACAGGTGAGAAAGAGGGGTCTGTGTGGTGCATGGCTGGTGTGGAGGCGTTTACGAGGGGAGTTGGGGATTCACGATTCGAGCCACTTCATTCCCCCACTCACACACAGGTGAGAAAGAGGGGTGTGTGTAGTGCATGTATGATATCATGATGATCTGGGCTTTGAAGCACAGCTACGTGAAGTGAGGGTGTTTTTGAGACGTCTCATTAACACCCTCACTTCACAGGTGAGAAAGAGGGGTCTGTGTGTGTGGTGCGTGTGGTTTATGTATGGTGCGTGTGGTGTGTGGTGCATGTATGATATAATGATGATCTGGGCTTTGAAGCACAGCTTGTGGGGGCTTGGCGTGGGGCGGGTGGGATGAATTTGTGGAGGCGTACACAAGAGGTGTGGGGGATCCGAGGTTCGAACCGATTCACTCGCCAACTCACACACAGGTGAGGGAGAATGGTGTGTGTGGTGCGTGTGGTGCATGTGGTGTGCATGATACGTGTGCTGTGTATGGTGCGTGTGGTGCATGTGGTGTGCATGGTGCGTGTGGTGTGTATGGTGTGTGTGGTGTGTGGTGTATGTATGGTGCGACTTGAGCACAGCTTTTGGGGGCTTGGGGTGGGGCGAGTGGATGAATGTGTGGAGGCGTATACAAGGGGCGTGGGGGCCTCGAGATTCGAGCCACTGCATTCTCCCACTGCATTCACCCACTGCATTCACCCACTGCATTCACCCACTGCATTCACCCACTGCATTCACCCACTGCATTCACCCACTGCATTCACCCACTGCATTCACCCACTGCATTCACCCACTCACACACAGGTGAGGGAGAATGGTGTGTGGTTTGTACCCATACCTGCTGTACACAGGTTTGTACCTGAGCATTTGGCCTTCGAAGCAGCAATCCTGTGCCCAGAAGACATTGCACACTATGCCTCTAGCTCCATCGCCTTCCTTTCTTCTCCCCTCTGTTTAACCTTCATACTGATCAATTTGTCTTTCCGTGACTTCACCTTGCCAGGTATCAGAGCATCTGTCGTTCGGAGCGGCACTGCTGTGCCCGGAAGACATCGCCTCCTGCCCAGCCTCAAACTCCCTTCACTCATCTCACGTCGCTCTCCCCTTCTGCTGTGTCTGCCACTCACCAACCTCGCCTCCCACAGGTATCAGAGCATCTGTCGTTCGGAGCGGCACTGCTGTGCCCGGAAGACATCGCCTCCTGCCCAGTTTCAAACTCCCTTCACTCATCTCACGTCGCTCTCCCCTTCTGCTGTGTCTGCCACTCACCAACCTCGCCTCCCACAGGTATCAGAGCATCTGTCGTTCGGAGCGGCACTGCTGTGCCCGGAAGACATCACCTCCGCGCACCAAAGGCTGGTCCGTCCTCCCCACTCTTTTCCCCACTCTTTTCTCCTCTCGCTCTATACACCCTTTCCCACTCTTTCTATGCGCCCCTCACCTCGACCCTCTCGCATTTCGCCCCTCTCCCTCATGTATACACCCCTCCTCCTCTGGCTGGGCTGTGTTCTGACATTTCTCCCCCGTCTCACAGTCACTACCCTATCCTCCCCTGTGATATGCTGCTCCTTCCTCTTCCATTGGTCCCACTTGCTTCTGCACGAGAAGTTGGCTTTTGGCTTGGAAAATAGTAAAAAAACAAAAACAAAAATCCTTCTCTTTAGTCACTTTCCCCTCTTGTATGCCTGCTGACCTTTCCTCTCCCATAGGCACAACTTGGTTCCTCGTCCTGTTGAAACTCGATGTAGACGCTGCAGCTATGTTGTCCCTACCCAACCCCTTCAAACCCCCTCGCTCATATCCCACATCAGGCCACGACAGCAGTGTTGGACCTGCAGCGAGCCACAGAGAAGCTCAACTGGGCGGTGGACGTGGATGGCACATATAGCCTCGTCCTCCCCTCACATGGTCTTCATGACCCCTCCCTCCCTTTCTCCCTCCACCATCCCACATCAGGGCACGACAGCAGTGTTGGACCTGCAGCGAGCCACAGAGAAGCTCAACTGGGCTGTGGACGTGGATGGCATGAACCGGGCGGCAAGAGACGCTGGGGTGATGGTGGTGCACCACCCAATCAGGTGAGCTGCTTTTGCTTGCGGTGCTGATGGATCTGGGGCGTTACTGCATGAGGAGGGCGTGTGATGTGGATGGGTGTGGACCAGGGTCTATGGGGCAGGGGATGTGGGGGTGATGGTGGTGCACCACCCCATCAGGTGAGCTGCTTTCGCCCCTTTCCTCACCCTACCTTGTCCCTCTCTCCACCCCCAGGCACCACGACGGGCATGACTTGAGGCGGAAGCTCCCAGTGGCAGTGGGGATTCTACACCGCCTGCTGCGCCGGGGCCTGCATGTGCTGGTGACGGATACAGATGGGGTGGACAGGGCGCCAGCAGTGGTGTGCGCGTATCTGCACTGGGTGCTCGCCATCCCCTTGCCCCAAGCCCTCCTCTTCGTGTGTGACGTCCGCCCCTGCCAGCCCAACCGGTGAGCTGTTCAGCATGGTCCAGTGCGGTTCATTGCAATTCGACGATTTGATGAGCAGTGGCTGCATGTGCTGGTGACGGGCACAGATGGTGTTGCAGGGCGCCAGCAGCGGTGTGCGCGTATCTGCACTGGGCGCTCGCCATCCCCTTGCCCCAGGCTCTTCACTTCGTGTGCGACGTCCGCCCCTGCCAGCCCAACCGGTGAGCCACGGGTTTGTGCAGTTTAGTACGGTTCAGTGCGGTTCTGCGTAATATAGTGTGGTTCAGTGTGGTTCTGCGCGTTTTAGTGCGGTGCAGTGCGGTTCTGGGAGTTAAGCTGTGGTGGCTGCATGTGTTGGTGACGGACACAGATGGGGTGGATAGGGCGCCCGCAGTGGTGTGTGCGTATCTGCACTGGGTGCTTACCATTCCGTTGCCATAGGCTCTTCACTTTGTCTGCGACGTCCGCCCCTGCCAACCCAACCGGTGAGCTGTTTAGTATGGTTCAGTGTGATTTTTTGTGGCTCAGTGCAGTTCAGTGCGGTTCTGTGAGTTGAGCAGTGTTGGCTGCATTTGCTGGTGCCAGACAGCCCATCCCATTCGCCCACCGATCCTCCCACCCATCCTCCCACCCATCCTCCCACCCATTCTCAGGGCGGCACTGACAGCAGCGACATGGGATGGGATCTGGTGGCCACGACTTCTCCTTGCCCACTTCCCTCTCCCTACTCAACCCCTCCCGTCCCTCCCATTCCATCGTCCCACCCATCCTCCCACCCGTCCCTTCCATCTTATCTTAATTTCAGGGCGGCACTGGCAGCAGCAACATGGGATTTGGTGGCCATGCTGCGGCGTGGGGTGAGGCACACAGGGCCTGCCACTCATTCGGTGCAGATCGCATGGAACCATGGGGGGCGCGAGGTGAGTGCAGCTTGTTAATGTATGGTTACCAGAGAGGGTGGTTAGTGGTTACCACCAGAGAATGTGGTTACCACAGACTGCCCCACCACTCACTCGGCGCAGATCGCATGGAACCATGGGGGTGCGAAGCCGTCTTGTGTAGTGTATGGTTGCTGGAATGTGTTGGCCAGAGAATGTGGTTACCAGAGAATGTGGTTTCCACCGACTTCCCTGCCACTCACTTGGCACAAATCACAGTGAATTACGAGAGCTCGACGTGAGGAGGGAGTGGGCCCCATCTCACACCGAAGTAATTTCCACTAAATTCCCTTCCGTTCCACCCATCCCGCATGCAGGTGCTACTGGTGGGGGAGCTATCAGGCGGGTGGAAAAACCCAGTGGCGGCCACTCCAGTTGGGGGTTCCAAGTTTGTTCTCGCGCTCAGGCTGCCCCTCGGATCGTGAGTCTCTGCTTCTCTCTCTCCTCTTCCGCCACGCCTGTGTGGTGCCGAAAGGTCTGCCTTTTACCAGTCAGTCACCTGCTCAAAGTCTATTCTCTTCTCTCGCTCACACTGCCCCTTGGCACTGGCAGCATGCAGCAGCAGACCTGCTTCCTCTCACTCTCTCTCTCTCTCTCTCTCTCTCTCTCTCTCTCTCTCTCTCTCTCTCTCTCTCTCTCTCTCTCTCTCTCTCTGCACGGCACTCCTTTGTGCAACACCTTCCTCTCACCTTCTTCTCACTTCCTCTCCTGGTGCAGTTATTGCTACGAGTTCATAGTGGACGGGCACTGGCGCCATGCAGCGGACCTGCTTCCTCCACTCCCTCTCTTGATTTGCACTTCTTTCATGTGCCCGCACTCTTTTTCGCACTCTCTGCCCGACTCTCATACCTCCCTCCCCCCCTCTTGTAGCTACCGCTACAAGTTCATAGTGGACGGGCACTGGCGCCATGCAGCGGACCTGCCCACGGAGGTGGACGAGTGGGGCAACACCAACAACGTGCTGCACGTGGGGTCGCTGGCTCGGCACAACAATGTAAGTCTGTGCTTACGTGTATCTGTTTGCTCACACAACACTTTTGAGGCGCCTCAAAAATGCCCACACAACACCAATTGTATGCTCCTCCACACATCTCGAGTGGGGCAACACCAACAACGTGCTGAACGGGGGGCCCCTAGCCCGGCACACCAATGTAAGTCGGTGGTGCTTCAGGTGGGTGTCACAACACCAACAACGTGTTGCACGTGGGACCGCTGGCCCCGCACACCAACGTGAGTCTGAGCGCCCACGTGTCTCTCTGTACACACGTGTTTGCACACAATTCTGGCTGAGGAGCATGTGAAGGAGATCTGCCCACGGAGGTGGACGAGTGGGGCAACACCAACAACGTGCTGCATGTGGGGTCTCTGGCTCGCCACACCAATGTGAGTCTGCTCTGCCGACACGTCTGACTGTGAATGGTCACCTCCACAATCACCCACGTTGCTCACATGCGCTTGACTGTCCCTTCGTCTGCCTCTGTCCCTGTCTTCCTCTCTTCCTATCTGCCTCTCTCCCTGTCTGCCTCTCTTCACCCGGTCTCCTGGCTCCCTGTCTCTTCACCTCCTTGTCTGCCACTCTCCCTGTGTCTTTTGAGCAGGATGCGGTGAGGGAGAGGGTGATAGAGCGCCCTCTCACGGACCTCGAGAGGCGAATGGTCACCTTCGCTTCGCAGCGCGTTGCTTTCTCCGTCTCGCCCATCACCTTCACGCCCAAGCTCAGACCAGCTCGCTCTTGAGTTCATTCTCAACGCTTCTCTTTGGTTAATTCTTACAGCTTCTCATCGCCCTGCAGCGCGTTGCCTTATCCGTCACACCCCGCCGCTTTCACGCCCAAGCTCCGCCCAGCACGCTCATGAGTTGTGTTGGTTGCATCACATTGCCTCATGAGCTAAATCTCACAACAACTCTTCACCTTACAACACGTTTCTCCCTCCATCTCCCACCCAAGCTGCGCCCAGCATGTTCATAAATCCCATATATTATGAAAAAAGAAAAAAAGAAAAAAAAAAAGATAGTCTAGATGGGTTCTGATTGCAGGTGTAAAAATCTCAATAATGGACTATAAGACTGCAAAGCATAGAGTGTGTGAACATGTACATTGAGAAACATGCTGTCAGTAGAAGTCACACGAAGAGTTACTGTATTTCGAGTCAGACTTACCGGTCATGTTTGCAACGTGTGCGGTTTGTCGGGATCGCGGTGGTTGACAGAGCGCACTGCCACATCATCATAACGGCCTTTGGTTTGGTCAACATCTATGCGCTGGAGCTGGAGCTGTCACGTGGAGCCGTTTCTCATTCGTCGGATTCCACATTTGCCACTTGTAGTTGTGCCAAGGGTGCATAAGCGACAACGCACCTGGCCGCAGCCCAGGGTCAAAAGGCAGGATATTTCAAGTGCCCCTTGTTGTACAGTGCACCCTACAGTGGGCTAGGTTCAATGGAAGGAGGGAGGGGGGGTTGAAAGGCGCGCGTATCGGAGGCAGCGGATTGTATGCGCTGGCATGGCTGTGCACGATGACTGGTGGAAAAAAATGTCAGGGAGGTCAGCTGAAGAAAGTCATTCGACAGTCGCTTACTTGCCACTTGTCGCGTCGTGTGGTCCCACGATCCCGATAAGATGGACCCGTCGGCAAATTGCCTACTTCCCAGCTGTTGAGATGTTTTGGATATACTCTATCCCATAGTCATCCCATTCACCTTCACCTCGCCTCTCTGTAACATTTTCAGCGCATTTTCCTATCATGTTCGTCAAGCGATTGAACATACCATATAACGGTTTTGAGAAGGGCCAGAAGAGTATGACACGGTGGAGTGGGATTTTCTGCGTGCCAGAGCGGCTTGGTTTTTCTCAGAACGATTGGGTAGGGTCGAGATATGTAATAAACTTCATTGTCATTGGGTTAATCAGCCGTTGATTATCTCTACCCATTCCCGAATCTGAATGGTTCTCAAACTATCTCCTCTTTCGGCCTTCCGATTCCATCCATCATTCCCAGTTCCTCAGAAACTACCACTCCACGACGTTTCTAAGGGCGCGTGTCTTTTGGAGTGTATTTGAAAGTTCATGTTTTTGGTTCAACTTTCTCCAGTTGAACTTTGGTCGTCCTGTGGTCGACCATCTCGACTTTTGGTGGTCGGGGAGCAGCGTCAACAAGCCCGAGTCGCGCATGGAACAACAAAATTCGACTATCAAAGTTCAACTTAAAACAGTAATTTCCGAGTCGCGCTAAGGTTTCGTAGGTTACCTGGTTTTGCGGTGCAGTTCGTCACCTTATCCGGTTTCGGTAACCAGGTTAGATGAACCTCGTTACGATCGCAAACCTCGCAGATTCTTCGTGCGTGCGCAGAAGAACACACGATCGCATAAACGTTAACGTAAAATCCGAATGCAAGGTCGACTTTAGTTCAGTGTCCAACTTCTTTCAGACGGTTTGAACTAGGACACACGATGTCCTGGCGAGTTGTCTGGCGATATTCGCGAACAAAGTTACCAGCAGAAGTTTAACCATTTTTCCGAACTCTACAGCAAAAGACACGCGCCCTAATTCACGCCGAACAAGGAGGTCAGCCCTGACTTCCTCGGCTGTCCTACTCGTTCTCCTCTCAACTTACCCCGTCTCCACTTGCTGCCCCCTCCGCAAGTCATGGTCATCGAATCGATATCCCCAGTGTAGAGATATATTTTATTCCGTCCCCCAATCTCGTCACGCCGCGTCATCGTTATTCACCCTCTTACAGAGAGCCGGGTACAACCACGCGGCTGCGACGATCTGGCAGAGGCCCGAGCCCAGCGGTTGTTGTTGGCGTTGCGAGCGCGATGCGAAGTCGGAAGGAACGAACTTGTCCAAGAGGAGACGCGTAGTCTTTCCTCTTGAAAATAGTATCTACAGTATTAGTAATAGTAATAGTAGAAGTATTAATAGTCCATGGAGGTTACTCGTGGCCGTGAGCAGTGCGCTCCAAGTGACTTGGATGACGTGCAGGCTGACACAGTCAGTTGTACTCATACAGTCGTAGTGTGCCATGGTGCTCGCGAGAGGTACATTCTCCTCGTAGCCTTCGATCCGCACTGAGCTGCGCTGATGAGCAGAGTTTAGATGAGTCGTGGGTGTGGTAGCTCGGTGTTATATTGTACGGCCGTTCTGAGACTCTGCAGAGTCTGTAAGCCAGTTTCCGCTAACGATTATCTTTAGAATAGTTTTAGACGCAGACGATTACGAGGCGCCGCGACAAGCTTTAAAGCACCCCTCATGTTTCGCAGTGATAAGTGGTTATTGCAGTGCAATTGATCGATATTCCTTTTTGTACCACGCTTAAATCACCTTCAGCCAGCGGCGCTGGCCGCAGACGTTCAATCAGATCGTTAAATTACGCTCCTCTTCCCCGACCCGGCGGCGTTTATTCCGTCCGCCGATCCCGGGGGAGTTAACTTTTTCTCTCTCTCTCTCTCTCCAAATTGGAGCTTTGAATGGAGTGCTGCGATCACGGCGTTGATGGCCGGCATCTCTGCGACGGCTGCGACAGCGAGTTGGCGATGCTGTCGCACGGGTGGAGCGTCCACAACCTCAGGCTACCTCTCGGCGACGGAGCTGTGGTTTCGCCTGATTTCGCCAACGTTTTCGCGAATGGCGATGGTATATTCGTCGTCCCCAATGGCGCTACTAAGGCCGTTGCTTCGCCTCCAGTCGCCGCCAATGCCGCCTCCGGCGCCGCGTATTCTGCTGACGTGTCGCAGCCACTGGTAACTTCCGATCTGGCTGCATTGACGGAGTCGTTGTGGGCTGAGCTGGCAGCAATGGACGGCGATTACCGCACTGCCACGTGGCAGGATCCCGACGCCGCTCCTCCAAGCGGCTGGCAGCTGATTGGTGACAACCCTAAATCGCCGCGCCGCCCTGCCAAAGCCCGAACCGCGACGCCTCTTGATAAATTCTGTCAGCAGAGCGCGGACCCGACAGCGATCGAAACTGGTGCTGCGTCATCGCGGAGTCAGACCGACTCGGACACACAGCAACATCATCATTATCAACCCTTCGCCGTGACTGCTATGCTGGATTCAGTGGCAACGAGTTTTGAGACTACTCAAAAGCACGCGGCGATTGCAAGCGTCGGTGCATCAGCGTCATCAAAGCAACAGCAACAGCATCCCTTTGAGATGATCGCTGCTGTCACACCCTCTGCTGTCACACCCACTGCTGTCACTCCTGCTGATGTCGCACCTGCTGCTGCTCTTGCCACTGCTCCTTCTTCCAGCAGCCTCAGCGGCAGACCTGTTCGAGTTAAGAGCGGTGCTATGCGGTACAGATGGTCCAGCAGCGGCAGCCTCGATCTGATTCCGGGAGCACCGATCGAGACGCCGACGAATCAGCAGCAGCAGCAGCAGCAGATGCGGCAAAACCCGAGCGCCAACCCGAAGCCGAGGCCGAGCCTCGGCGGAGCCCCAGGACCGGACCGGCTGACTCCAAAGCGCAAGCGAGAGTCCCGTAGAAGCAGCAGCGACCCGATTGGTCCGTCCTGCGTCTCTCGAAGCCTTTCCGCCAGCAACCCCCTAGGGAGTTCCTTCGAGAATTTCCCTAGCGGTGCCCCCGATACAGTCACGCACGGGGATGTCACAAGGTGTACGGTCACGGGAAAGGGTTTCGATACAGTCACAAACCCATGGGGATTTGCGTGCGCAAGGGCGGGCGTGTCTGATTGTGCCGGCGGCCCTTGGGAAAGGCTCCCGGAGAGTCGAGTGGGCTTTGCTGCAGTGCCCAGTGCCTTTGGATTCGTTACAGCCTGCGGTGCTCCTGAGGTCGCTACAGCCGCTGTTGCTCCTCCTGGGTTTGCTACGGCCTCGGGTGCGCCTGGGTTCGCTACGGCCTCTGGTGTTCTCGGTTCAGCTGAAGCAGCCCAGCTTGATGCTTCGGTTGCTTCCAACGGCCGGGCTGATCAGGGGACGGGCTTGTTCAGTGTGCGTAATCCCGACCATGGTGGTAAAGAGAGCATCCACCAGTCGGATTTCTCTCAATTCCCCCCTGCTTACCACCCGCCCTACTCACGAAGATTTCCGCCCTTCTCCTCTCCTTTCCCCGCTCCTTTCCCCGCTCCCTTCCCCACGCCCAGATCCCCTCCTTTTTCCTGTCCTTTCCCCGCTCCCTTCCCTGGTCCCTTCCCCCTTCACTCCTCTTCGAACCTGACTGCCCCATTTGCCTCCTCCGCCGCATCCCTTCTCCCTGCTGCCGCCCCACCTCAGGGCCTAAGCCTGCCCCCTCCTTACCCTGCTGTCCTTCGTTCGCCCAACCTCCTACCCACTACTCGTCCCATTTCCCCTCAAACCCCCGATGATTTCTCCCCTAATAGCCCCCTTCTGAGCCAATTCCACCCCAGTCACCCCCTCCCCAGTAACCCCCTCCTTAGTAACCCCCTCCCCAGTCACCCCCTCCCCAGTAACCCCCTCCTTAGTAACCCCCTCCCCAGTCACCCCCTCCCCAGTCACCCATTCTCCCACTCCCACCTTCACAACAACCTATCATCTAGCAACTCTGCACCCAATTTTCCTCTTTCCCGGATTTTTCACCCATTAAGTTTCCCTGCGGTCCCAACTTCCCCTGCTCTTAGTACAGCCCTTTCCAGTTCCACCTCCCTCAGTATGCCCTGCTCCAGTTGCACCCTCCCCGAAGGCCCCTCCCTGCTGGCTCGCTCCTGCTCTGCTCCTCTCATCGCCCCTACCATAAGCAACCCCTTTGGGACAC